ATTTAGTTAATTTGATGTATAGCTAAAAAGAAAATAAAAAGTGACATAGATGAACGCAACCTGAAAAGCACATAGTAAATTTCTAAATGAATTTCTTATACATACATCAATCGATGTAACGAGCCGACTCAGTTGCATTCAATTTAATCATCATGCATACTTTTATGTACATATGCATGTATATACACCGGTATTTTGGAGTACCTTCATCCTAAATGTAGGCAATGTTCCATAGTTAAAGGAATGTTATAAAATTGCCTACAATTAGGCGGAAAAATGTATACTGTATCGAAAACAAACACAAAATATAAACGCATTTTTGCACAATGCCGAAATTAAAAACTTAGAAAATCCCTGCGACTCCATGTAGCATTTTCTAGCTTTTATTGCAATATGAATTTGTAGAGAATATGCAGAGTTCATATTAAGTGAGTAGGTGGGAGTGCGTACTATTATCAGGATCATGGGTTTAAATACTGGCCAGTCAAATATTCAAAATTATGAAAAAATAAATTAAAAACACCTCTCGGCATTCTCGGTTGAGAATGTCAACTGCTCCGAATTTATTAAAACACTCTTCTTAAAAATTCTTTTACCACTTGAAGGCGGCTTAAAAGAAATAAAGCTGGTTATCTCTTCATCCTGATCAAGACAAGTTAGTGGAGAACCTCTACCAAAAATCGCTTCGGATATCATTACATTATCGGCAAATATCCTTTCCAAGAAATTTCAACAAAATTAAATCAGTACCGGTTTCATTCTACATCTCTCAGATGCCATTCCGATTTTGGAGTAATATAAAATGAAGTTTGAATATCCTAAATCTGGTTACCGGTTAGCAACAAACCTTATTGATCCTTTTTTGACATTGGGGCTGGTATTTTTTGGCCCAACTGAAATCTTCTTCAATTTTTAATAATCCTTAGATGTTTGCCTAATTAGAGTCGATAAACTATTACTATTTCGTATTATAATACAATAAATGAAAGAATATATGAAAAATAACCCTAACCTGTTATCCCTGGGATAGAAAATTCCTAAACTTCTTTAGTTTCCTTTAGAGGTTTAATTAGTTTGTTCGCTGTTGTGGTTTGTTGATTGCCAATCTCTGATTAAGCGCATTTAAGCTTGTTGGCTCGTTATAATAGCATTGGTGGGCTTATAAAAGTTGCTGCTACTTGTTAAAGCTGATTCTGCTAGGCAGAATCAGTGAAGGGTTGTCGGGCTGCACTGGGCAGTAGCAGAGTTCGTGTACTACCGGCTCTTTCTCATCTATGTCCCAGCATCTGCGACAGAGGTCGTTAGAGAAGTAGCACATCCTTTTACCTTGATGTCCCATCATATACTACCTCTTCAGAGACTTGCTCGTCTCCATATTTCAAGGTGCTGCTACGTCTTCCCTTCCGAAAAAAGTTCTGGTTTCTTTTTCCAGTCTACAGCAGAATTTTTGAGCTTACGCTGAAGTTCCGGCCCTTATTTAGAACGCGTGTGCGTTTTTCCTTGACAAAACTCGGCAGTGACTATCAAGCTGATTTTAGTCAGTCCTTTTGTATCGTTCTCCAATAGAACTAAAACTTTTATCTCTATCTTTAGTAAATTTTTCACAGTTAAATAATTTCAAGAGGAAACAAATCGCAGAAGAATCTCTCCTAAAAAAAAATCATTTTAGTTTAATAATGGTAATCCTCACTTCGCTGTTGACGGGATTAGAGAGAGTAACTCTAATTGCTTCTTAATTCATTTAACCTCTCCTTAGCTGTTGCTTCGCCTACATATTTAGGCGTTAAGCATATTTATTATGTATAATTAAATTCCCAACCTTCACGCTTGATGACAATTTTGCACTTCACTGTTGAATATTGTTATCCTGCCGAGGTTTGAGTGCGCATGCATACATACAACTATACAAATCATAGTTTGTTTGCCAAGTTTTTGTAGTGCGACTACCATTTGACCGCCAAACGAGCAGTCACGTAATGTGAAAAAAGTCAAAACCACTTACATTTCAAGAATAACAACAATAAATTGAAAGTGTGGAAATGGGAAAAAAGAGGCGCGGCGAAAGTATTTTCCTTTTCTTTTTTATATTGTGGCGTCCATCTGTGCGCACGGTTGTCATTCCTTTTTTTTTTTTTTTTTTTTTGATAAGTATGGCTCTAGTTCTCTAGACAACCTGTCGAGCTTATGGCCACTTCTTTAGCTTTTGTCAGTATGAGTGTGTGTGGTAAGCTCTCTTTGGCCAGCTGCAAGCCGTTGTTGACTCAACTATAATTAAAAAGTGTGCCAATGTTTATTTCCGCAAATTAGTTTTGTTAATTAAATGGGACCACCCACATGCCCACACATCCACAAATCCGCACATGCACATATTTACACTAATATTCTCAACTCACACTCGTGACACTGAAAATGGCAGGCCAAAAGCCTTTTGCACTTTCTTTTGTTATTATCCTTTTTTTATCCGCCACATTTGCTTTGTGGGTGTGCGCTACCCTTTTGCTGGTTAGTTTAACCTACAACATGCCACAATCGCCAGCTATATATGAAGTGGTAAAATGAAGTACAATGCTTGTGTGTTTTCTATTGCATCCACATGGTATTTTCCCATTGTCTACAAATGAGCTTTGTCTTATTTTATCGTTCTCTTACACTTACTTTACTACTACCTTGGATGGTTAGCTACTAGTCTTCTAAGTGGGTTCTATGAAGTAGCTACTCAACGTTTAGTGTGTTGATTGTATGCTTGTGACATATTTATTGTCCCCTTTTTATGTTGTGTGAACTTTCTTTCACTCCATAAATTTTCACAACTTTTCCATTAATTTGTTGACTTAGAGCAGTGAACTTTGTCTCTGTGGATCTCAAATCTTGGAAGGAAAACAGCACCAAGAAGCATTCCAAAGTACACGGTCTTTATATAATTTTTTTTTCAATTGCTCATCGAGTATATTATCGATTTTTAAAATCATATTCTAATATTGAAAAAGTGAAAACTTTTTTCTTCATGCTCTTATTGAGGTAGTTTTTGATGATTTTGGTGTCTCAGAAAAACGCAAAAATTCAGGCTAATTTTGACTCTGAATTATGATGTTCTTATGGAAGTAAATAATAAATCCATAATAGTTCATAGTTCATATAACGTTGGCCATTCCCTAGATTCTATTTTCTATAGCCCCCCCAGAACATGACAAAATGTTAAATATATTTCTATTAAGCAATATTTTTCGAATAATCTGAAGTATTTCTCGTTGAATATTAAAGCCTTTTAAAAGTTTTAAATTTTCTCCTAAACATACAAATTTTATTTAGACCTAATTCTTCAATATGGGGACTGCCATAACTTGGCACTTCATTTTTTTTTTTTTTTTTTTTTAGTATTTCTTTTCCTTATTTCAGTGGCTCAAGAAGAGAACATTTATTTCATCCATCAAATTTTTTTTAAGGTTCAAAATATATACATAATTAATCGGAGTTTATCTAAACTGAATATGCCACAAATCCAGAACTTTAGACTATCTAAAATTATTTTTCCAATAGTTGGCCCAGCCATATCGGATTCCGCCAGATGGCGTTATTTTTCCGTATCTCGCGTTATATAATCCCGATCGGGTTCAGGTAGATGGCGTTTGAAAGATGGCATTTCGTACTAAAATAGCTTTCTGACAGTTTTTTGAATGGTTGATTCAGTTTTGTTTGGGCGTGCGTCAATGATGGACACTACGCTATATTTCACAGGTTTTCTTCGATAAGGCCTAAAACACAAGCCAGACGGCTAAAAATGTGAATATCGTTTACGGTCCTGATACTGTTGCAGTCGATCGTGCAGAATTTCGATTTCATTCAAGTAATTTTGATGCGAAAGATGATTCACGGAGTGAATTATTAAATTACACCATCCTAGAAGCTACATCTGAGGTCCACAATACGAGATCATATGCTCACTAAAAGTTTCCCTCACTAAATTGGTCGTTATCGTTTGCTATATGATTCATTTACCGAACGTTCGACGCACTTCGTGGTGCTTCGGCTTTTATTCTTGCACGATCCGTAAAATCTTCCACAAAGTGGATGAACACAGCCCCAATTGTTGCGCGCGAACACAAACGTACCCATTCGGGTATTCATCGATACTTTGCTCTAGAGCAGCAAAAGCATATTTTGTGCTCTGAGTTTGTCCATTATCCACTTGAGTAAACTTGGTGCGAAACTGATGCATTGTTGCTCAAAGTACCGAGCCTGTTGGGGAATTATGTGGGCTGTGTAATAGACGCAGCGAAAGATGCGTCGAGCGGACTAAAGGTTCGGTCCGCAATTCGCAAATGTTATTTCAGAAGAAGGCTGAAAAAAGTATCACCTCATTGAAAACACACTTTTTATAATAAGAAAATATTCCATTGACCTAAACCTTACTTGGAGTGTCAGTCAAGGGGTTGTAAACAAACACCACACAGGAAAATATATATTTCTGATAATAAGAAATAAAAATGTCTCTCTATTATTTGGAAAGCCCTCGCATACCCTGTTTATACCCGTATAAATGACTGCGCAGTTTGCGTGTCAAATGGGCAACCATGAATATACTCATGAGGCATAAAAGTCCTTAGATATACATATTTGACCGATCTAATGTGACGATTGAGTCATTGACAGTTGGCACAAAGTGATAACTATTTCAGTGTACGGAGAAGCATGAGTTCTTTTTGCTGATAAACATATATTTAGGAACTAAATAAAAATATAAAAAATATACGTTTTCGTACTTCAAAAAAAAAAAAAATACACACACACAGAGCTTAAACTTTGTAGTTAAAACTTGTATTAATCCTGCCATTTCCAAATAATTCATGAATGGATTCCAGCTTTTGCCGGTATTCAATACTTCTCCATCCTAAATATAAATTAGGTTTTACTTTTTATTTGTTAATTTTTTTTTTATCTATTGCGTCTATATTTCTTATTTCCCTTTTTTAATCGTCTCTCTCTCTCTCTCTCTCTTTCAGCCAAACACCTATGTATGTGAACCACTCTGGCTGGTGATGCCACTAATCAAACAGAAATCTCTAGCCATCGTAGGTATATCAGCCACGATAATAACATAGTTAAATCTTCCACAAAATGGCAGTCAGTTATACCTGTCTAACATTGCAATATGTGGTGGTGCCGACGGTGCTGGTGTTGGGTAAGTATTCCAAGGGATATAAAGCTATAGTTTATAGAAAATTTAAAGTGGATTATAAGTACATAAATGGATATATAGAATAATTCGGCATTATTTTATGCGCACTGTACTAACAAGATTTGAGGTTGCCTCTCAGAATGAAGCTATTAGTTTCCGATAAGTTAACTGAGTGGTTAGCATTGCGTACTGCCATTCGAAAGGCTTGGGTTCAGCCGAAGCGGTAGAAATTAAATTGATTTCGAAATGCATTTCTCATCAGGCTTTTCCACCCAACCTTGTCCAAGTAGAATGTGATCACGAATATAACTAATTTAATTAGTGGGAGGGTAAACATTTTGGTTTTTTCTCCTATTTTATAAGTAATAATAATAATCATACGAAATTTTTGGGTTATTTTTGGGAGCGCCTGAACATACATTATCCAAAGGTGATAAAAAGTACTATATACAATATAAATATGTATTTAAAAATTTTTGATAATATTTAATAGTTATTAAGGAGCTTGCAAAGTACTGCAGTATTTTCCAGTCGGAGATCTTCACTATAGGGAAACCTTCCGAGAAATTGTATATAAAATATCAATAAGTTATATATCCCGGCGGTAATTAAGGCGATAATCTCTCATCGCAATGCGTCGTACTAGTACAGGAGGTTCCAAAATCGCTCAAACCTATTTAGAATAAAATTTACGAAAAAACCGGAGTCCGGATGAGAGTGGGATAGAACGCACTGGCGAAATGAAAACCACCAAGATCATGTGCAATAGCAGTAAAGCAACCACCCATTTCTTGCTTGCAAGGTCATGTGGAAACTCCAGGGCAGTTGTCCTAATGACGTGCCACAACCTACAGGCATTTCATGCAAGCAGAAAGTGCTTTAGTAGCAGGAAGGAAAGCATGGGTGTGACGTAAGAACACGCGCTTTCAACCGGTCTTAGCTAGAACTCGTTTAAGATATATCGGGCTAACTGAGTCTTTAAAAGATAATATTAATGCTCTCTGGAACTTTGCGACCTAACGACCTAAGAACACGAGCTTTCTGCCGGTCTTAGCTAGAACTCGTTTAAGATATATCGGACTAACTGAGTCTTTAAAAGAGAATATTAATGCTCTCTGGAACTTTGCGACCTAACGACCTATACGACGACTACTTTTGGTCACAATAAAACGGGCTTCCATTTTGCACTACAAAGGAGCAATGGGCATAAAGTAGCAGATGAGGCTAAACTAACATTACATATTATAGAAAATAAGCTTAGAAAATCGGGTAATTTCTGTATTTTGAAACCCCTAAATGTAGACTACTTTAAACAAATAACAGTCCAATCAATATACCAGCTTGTTGAGGGCTACATTTAAGCTTAGCAAAATAATTTACAATTTTATATTATTTTTAAATTTTAAAATGTATGTATGATATATGATTTTTATTTCATATTTTAATTTTAATGTTAAATTAGCAACAATTAATATATATTCATTTTCCTAAACTTTCAGCCGCACTATTCCGACCTGCCGGCATTTCGTTCGTGTACCTGTTAATGTTTTTTATAACGCCCTTTATTCCCATCGCCAACAGTCGTAATTTTAAAAGTGCCGTTGGACCATTTTTCATCATACTCATAGCATTATGTTCACTATTATTATTATGTCATATAGTACTGCAAGTGACAATAATTGCAATGAAGATCGAATCGATCTTCGCTATGTGTTCATTTACGCAACAACTGTTGCGACACATCGGCTTCATTAATTTGCAGAATTTGCAGTAAGTGAAAATAAACAAAAAGATAATATAAAAATAAAAATAAATAAATATAATTGTAAATAATTAAAAATATATTTTGCTTTTTTTATTTTTTAATCTCAATTTAGTCCAATAGCCGCTGCTGAATGGCATTTGCCAGATGTGCTGGTATTCATTACAGTGGTGATTTCATTTGTAGTTATAAAAAAATTCACCCAAAAACCACCACCGATCACAATGCAATTGGAAACTGGTGAAATTTTACCAAATCAAGAATCTGATGATAGTGCAAATGCTGATGATGAAGCATTCTTTGATGGATTAATAAGAATATGTAAGTAAGAGATTGAAAATATGGCAAATAATTCTGTTTGAAGAAATTTTTTGAGTTTAAGTGTTATATGACGTCACAATAGCAACGCTTTTGAAAGAGAATTGAGCGCACAGAGCCAAGTTAACAACGCTTTAGCTGAAATGAGCACTCGAGCACAGTTATGCGTTAAAAGTTAAAGCAAAAACAATAGTATAAAAATTAAAATTTGAAAATTTTGATTTTGATAAAAAAATTTGCTTTAATGAAGTCAGCGAAATATTACACATTTTCAAATTAAAAAAAAAATGTTGTTTTAAATTGTTGAAGGGAAACTCGTTTATGTAAAAAAAGATATATGTTTTCAAATATATAGCAAATTATTATATAAATGACAATTTCTCAGAAATTATAAAATTGCTATTGTGACCTCATTTACGCCGAAAATCGCTTCACAATCAAAAAAAAAAAAAAATAAAACAATATAATGTATATATTTTATTTCCCTCACAGCACCGCTCTTCTGCCTTGCAATGCTATTTGTCATAGCCGTGCTGCGACCATCCGCGCCTGCGGGCTTCTATTTTCTCATTTTCCTGCTGAGTGGCTCCTATTGGGCCACCTACAACTCGCTGAGACGGTAAGTATGATTTTATGATTTTAAAAACATTTAAAAAAATGCTTGAGGAAATGAAAATTATTAATTTTTCTTTACATTTTTATATTTCCAGAGGTTTCTCGCTGCTGCTGCGCCTCTTAATGCTCGTTATTGCTTTACATTCAGTATGTATAGTGGCATATCAAACGCCCTGGGCGCAATATTATTTGAGTAGTGATAATCTTATAGCGAGGTGAGTGAAATATTAAAAAACAAAAGGTTTAAATAAAAATTTTATAAAATTAATAAATTTTCGTTCTGTGCACAGATTAATAGGCCTGGAACCTCTAGTGCTCTCCTCTTGCGATCGTGATATACGCGTTATGAGCTATAACTTGAAATACAGTTTCGACTCCTTCATACTACCCATTCTAATGCTGTTAACATATTTTGTGCTGGCGTTGACTGCCAAGTGCCTGAGCAATGCAAATGTGAGTAGCGCAAAATCTTAAAAAAAAATTGTCCAGAATTTCTGCATATCGAAGAAAATACAAGTGAATCTAAAACAATACATACATACATACATATATGCATACCTAATAGTAATACTCTGCGCGAGGTTTTTGTTTACATTTTAACCGAATTTTCATGGTTATTGTGTATTAAACATTTATCGATTGCACACAACAATAAAAAAAAAATTGCATATTCATGGCAAACAAAAAATTAATAAAAATTAAAAAAAAAAAAAATCATAACACAAAAATTTATTACCAACCATTAAAATGGCTTTGGCATCTCTATTGTACTCTCTTTGTTTCTTCTTTATTTTTCATTACAAAATTCTTATATGTAAACTAATTTGACTAAAACCAAAACCCTTTCCCTCCAAAAAATGTTCAATAACTTTATGAAACTCTTACTTTTCTTTCTTTTAATGCTGCTTTTACAATAATAATAATAATATCATACTGCTGCTGCAACGAAAACAAAAACAAATTCGAATTCGAACGTAACAATTTGGAAAAACGAAACATTTAAACAAAAAATATTGCAATTAAATTCTATTATTATATATTACATATACAATTAATTGATATGTATAACGTTTATATTGCTTAATTATATTTATATCAAAATATGCTGCACTATCTTATCTGGCCTCTCCCTTACACACATCTGGCATGCATGCCACAGGTCACTGCTAAGCCAAAACCCGTCAAGGCCCAATTAGAAAATGGTAGTAAATTGACACGTCAAATATCACGCATTACGGCACATTCATCGCGTAGTAGTAAAAAGGATAGTTGGACACGTGCACAACGTCTGACTGTAAGCAAGCAAATACGGGTATACAAAATTACAATTACTACATACAAACTTGCATATTTATTGAAAATTTATTAAGCATTATTATGTATATAAATAGTTGCAAATGAAGGAAAAATTCCTCACGTGAATATTTATTTAATTTAAAGAAATTATAAAACCGTCTCAGACCATATGTTTTTTGAAAATATTGAAAAAATTAAAACAACTGTTTTTGACGGTAGAAGTTATAGCTGCTTTTCGGACCACCACGTTTCCTCATCAGACTTCTTTTTCCAGACACCTTAGTTCGGATTGGATTCTAACTTGGCACGAGCCAATGGTTATCCCATTAAGCTACATGTGTACCGCTTTCACTTATTGTTGTTTTTCTTTAATTGAGAGAACGTTCAATGTAGTTGATGATGTCGTGGAAAAGACGTATAATGAAGCTCGTTCTCAGAGATTTTTATATACAGAGAATTTTTATAATATTTTCTGTCATCAATAAGTTTGTTTGCGCAATTTAAATATTTCAACTCCCCTGAAGATTTAAGAAGCAAACTTATTTTAAATAATTATTAGGTATAGCAAAAAGTAATACATTTTGTTTGCATAAAATAACTCTTTTTACCATAGTAAAATCCGATTTATGTCAAATCCGCACCGTTTTGTTGATAGCTTTTTTGCCATTTTGAAGGCAATATATCGCTCTAGACCTTATTGGAAAAAAATTGAGAAATCGATTTCCGCAACCTTTTACCAACCAAATTATTCGCCATAGACAGGTACAGATCCGAACTATGAAAACTCCCAACCAATCTCACGGAGTCACTTTGCGAGGTCTGGCGTTGTCTTGGTGAAACTCAATTACCCTCCCGTTCGGTGTGCACTCCTGGGCTTGTTTCCTTCAGGCGGTCAAATTGCTGAGAGTACAAGAGTCCGAGTTAAGACTTTAACCGATAAGGGATTCCCGTCAATCCTGGCTTGAAGGCCGTTTCTTCCGGTTCACTGGCTTTCTAACATGACTGTTTTCGTTTGGGGTTGCTGTAAAAGATCGACTTTTCATCCATTCTTCCGCAACCCATTGCCTCACGAACGTCACACCAGGTGTTACAAATATCTGTAGAAAAGAAAAATTAATGTTTTCATAAGATTTGTATTATGTCTTCAAAATTGCTCTATGATAAGAAGCTATGGCTGTTAATACTTTAAGACGATGTTAACTAAGCTTATCTCGAAGTTTGATTCATCAGACCACAGAACATTCGACCAATTTTCTTCCGTGAAATGTTAGTATCGGCGAGCCCACTCGAAACTATTTGTCCTATTCTTTTCTTCGGGCTTTACCTCCTTTTAAACCTGCTTCCAGAAGTCTTCTTCTAGCTGTTCGAGCACTAACTAGTTTACTAAGCTCATCCGAAAGGAAAGCTGCAAGGGAAGAAGATTTTTTGCGATCCTTGAGAGACTCTCGTATAAGTGTTCGGTATTCTCGTTTACTGGTTAGACGCTTTCTTCCATTTTTTGATTTATTATTGTGAGATTTTATCTCCAAAAATCGCCTGATAGCACATTGGACCGTGCACCGCGAACATCCCACCAAATTGGCAATCTCAACCTGAGGCTTACCTTCTTCACTTCGGACTTGAATTCTAACTCTATCATCGTAACTAATTTCACTTTTTTCAGGCATTTCGGTAAATATGAACTGTTTTTATAAGATTGGTAACTTTTCACTAACAGGCCTATTCTCACTGTTACCAGTAAAGTAAATTTTGTTACTTTCCTTTAACACCCGAAATTGAATTTGGTATTCTGGCGAACTGGTTACAAAGTTTGAAAAACTTGAGCAGCACTGCTTTTTTCGTCCTTGTCAAATTACATTTGCCAGTTGGTTAAGTAAAAAGAATAATATTCACATCGATATGGAAGACGGTGCGCAACAAAATAAATAAGTTTTATTTATTTGTTTATTTAATCATAAATATTTAAAATTATATTTTTTTAATATTAACCAACAGATTCAAAAAAATTATCTAAAACTCTATACTAGTTTTAAGTAAACTACTGATTACTGCCATTTTACTTCAGCGCGTTTCAGTGCTAAAAATTTATAAAATTAATAAAAAATATAACAATTTTATATTACATTTTTCTTAAACCTTCAAATAAAAACTCATGCAGGATTTAAGAGTGATCAGGGACATGAAAACTAGAATTTAATTTTTTTTTGTCAGTAAAGCATTTTATTTTATAAATTAATAATAGAACATATTTCGACTTGGTTAAAACTTCTTCTTCTTATATTTACTAAGATCGAAATTTTTTTACCATAATAATTAACAAAGTGGCGTCCTAAGGAAATTTTTCACACTATCGCCATTTTCCCAAGCGCCCTTTGTTTAATATCCCTATTTAAGATGCATTTATAATGTTCAGAGAATTTTTTGGAGATATTTTTCTTAAAAAAAATGCAAAAATAGAAGTGGTAATTTTTAAAAAATTCTAACTACTCCTTAAGAAGACTTTTATTATCCACAAATGCGATGAATGATACCAAATATTAAACATAAATAAACCTATTTATAAATAATAACTATAACAACCTGCATCAATATAAACGAAAATAATGTATTAAGTTGAATTGATAATTTAAAATTTAAATTTCAGATATTTTGATTTATATCTTTCCGTCTAGTGATATTACAAATAATAGTATTTTTTCTTTCACGAAAATGCTCCAAAACTCAGTATAAAATTAATATAAATATAAAATAATTAAAGCTTTGTAACCGCTTTAGCGGTTAGCAATGCCTACCAACACTCGGTTGATCATGATTCGAGTGCTGACCCGACAAACACTTAAAATTAGGGAAAATTAATTTAAAAAAATAAATAAGCTAAATTTTCTAATTTAGGTTACCCCCCGGCAGGTATTTTCAACCACTCCGAGTGTATTTCTGATAAGAAGTAAAACCTCATAAAAGTATATCGTCCTTGGTCTAGAATATCCTTTGGGTGCCTTTATTTGTTGGAAAACCACCAAGACCACAAATTGGAGTAGGAGCTTGGCTGGCCAAAATTGAATGAAATATAAAAAAACGACCTTTTGTCAATAAGCATTAAAATATTGTTTCAAATTATATACTACTTTATTTGTTATTATGTATATTTTTCACTTTTACTTATAAGAAAATCTATTTTTCTATTCCGACAGGGAATATATTCTACTAAAATAAATTAAGAGCCTAACATTTTTTTAAGTTCGAAGTGAACAGTGTTTTCGAAGAAAATTCTTCGCCAGCCAAAACACGTCTCTTAATATTATTTGTAAATAGTTTTAATTTATTTTATAGCTCACACATTTTTTCTTTATTTATTACCCTTACACTCCCTTTAACCTTTGTAATTTTAGTTGCATTTAAATGTAATTTATTATTCACCTTTTTAATTTCATAAAATTTGTTACAAATTGTTATTTTAAATTTTATTATCCTCCTTGGTTGCCATTAATTTTTATCCTAAAAATCTTAAAAAAGTATACATACGTGTGTTTGATTTTAATTAAAATTCATAAACTTGTAAATATTTATAATTTATTTACTGTATCTTTTTCATTTCACTGTTTTCTTGGTTCCAAATTTACTGACAATTTAATTTACTTAGAAAAAAAAAACAAAGAAATGTAGAAATTAGTATCATAATACATTTTACAATCTCCAAACAGTTTGTGTTGTTTTAAGGATTTCACACTGATTCTATCGACTTGAAGTAATTGGGTTTTTAATAATGTTTAATACTTTGCAACGTTGCCAATTTTCACTGTAAAATGCATTATTCATATTTTTTAGTAATATTATATATATATTTATGTTTATTCATAACATATTCATGGTCTTCAAGAAATTCCAAAATGAATTGTCAGTCAACTTTGAGTTACCTTTCTTTTCACATATGTAAATATTTAATTTTCTTTTGTAGAATCTAATATAAAATTATTCTCGATTCCTCTTTTCCGCCCAAAATATAAATAAAATCTTTAATTATACTTCTCTATTCTTAGTTTCTTTTCACTGCTCATTAAAAAAAAAACACTTTTCATTTGTTAAAAAAATCTTACTTTTATCTATTATTTTCAAAAAAAAAAAAAAAAAAAAAAAATTAAAAAATAGTATTAATAAATAAATTCTGCACTCTTTTATTGCTTTCAATTGCGTTTATTTTAAGTTTATGCTTTTCTACTTTTACTTTAGGTTTCGTTACGTCGTGACCAACGTCCAAAAAGTACTATCGAACCGACTGAGACGACGCCTGTACGTAAACTAACCACTGTGTTGTTAAAAAAAACGGCAAATAAATAGAAATTATAACTAACATAAAATAGTTGCTTTGAAAAAAAAATATATTCATCTGTCTGTAATCAATTAACTCACTCTCGACGTTCAATAGTTTTAAATGTTAAATAATTGTTTGTCTAATATTCATATATATTCGTCGACTTTATTACCTACTCAGTAATTCCCCACTAATTTAGCAAATCAATAAATTTACTAACTAAATTAGTTATGCTGACAGTTCCTAAGTTCAAATAAGGGTTAACGGTAGTTAGATATCCATAAAATCATGGCACTTATTTTGTAAGTAGCAATTACTAACATTTTCGCTTAAAAAATTATATACATAGCTCTTGTGAAGTCCTTCGATTCTCTTCAAAGTCGTCTCATATTTTCTAATAGTTTTCTCCGGGTGGTGTTGGTTTCAATTTTGTATAAACGTTACTTTCATAAATTTTTAAGTAGAAATTAGTTTATTAGACTGTTTCATAAAAATCTTGTCATTTATTTTTCTTATTTTTACATTCATAAATTACTTTACAATGCGATAACACGTTTTCGTAATATTTCACAATATCAGCTGCCTCGCTGACGTCACAATAGCGTTGCATTACACGGAATTAAGTCTGATATTTTATACATTATGGAAAAACTGCTGTCAAAAAATTGTTCATTATGTAAAAGAATTACTGATAAATTTTTATTTCACAAAAATCAAATTTGCTTACAGGTGACTGCTATTCTGACGTCATTGTTATGTACTTGGCATAATCTCGTATTTCATCACTGTTATTTAGCCGTTCATACAAAAATTTTAGCATTCAGCGAAAATTTAATGCATAAACGTATTAAATTTAGAATTAATTTGAGCTAATAATGTCCTAACTAATTTTCGATTAACATTCCAACACATTAAATAGTTAACAATTTAATAATATTTAACTGTTCCTGTTACATATTCGTCTTGTCTAATCATCAATCAGCGTTGAAAATCACTAATTAACCACATTATTGTGTTCGTTAATGAGCATTTATTGGTTTTTAATATTCTTTTAGTCTCTGGTCTAACTGTTTGACGTACATATGTATATGTATATATATAATATTTCCTACCATATTTTTAATTAGCACTAAATTTATCTCACTTTCTTACTCAAAAGTTGGTGAAACGGTTACGCAAGAGTGACGCCAAAGAAATTACAAGCGATGAAATTGCATTGGAATTGCAAGAGACTAACTCACCCGATGTTTTCACGAATACCATATGCGATCAGATATGCTATGGCTTTATAAGTATTGGCCAATTCATATATCAAAATAGTTATATATTTACAAATATATCGATGATGGTGAGTACATGAAGATTTTTAGCTGATTTTGAAATAAGTTTGTACAATGAAATTTTAAAACTGGTTTAAAAAAATGAAAATCAGTTCATTAATTTTATTTATTTTAATTAAACAAATTTATATTAGAATACGAGTATATCATTTTAAATGAAATTGAGTTAATTTAAACTTAATTAAATTTAATTCTATTAATTTAAAATGATTTAAGTTAAACTAAATTGAAGTGAATTAAATAAAACTTTAAATTAAGTTTAACTTATTTAAATTAAATTAAGCTGAAACAAATTCAATTAAAGAAAATTATCTTTAATTAAATAATTGCCCAGTTAAATTAAAATTAAAAGTGAATTTGAAATAAATTAAGCGGAATTGAAAAAAAATATCAAAGTCAAAGAACGGCCGTCAACAAACACAAGGCAGGTTCGGCGTCGAAAAGCTGCAATCACAACAGACTGCAGAATCTGAGAGCAATCATCACCAACTCGGTCTTAAGAAACTGTGGAATGGCATCTCAAACTCCCTACGTACCGTCGCGACGGAAACAATTGGGTTTCGACAATGGTTCATTTCGCTTTGTCATTGTCAATCAGCTGATTGAACCTTCTCAGTGTGGCCTTAGACCTAGTAAGAATCTTGGAAAAGACCCACGAAGAGAGGATCGGCACATACCACCTCTCTTCTTGGACTTTAAATCGGTCTTGGACAGCACGAAGCACAAAACTTATACGACTATATCCGGCCCGTTCGTTGCCAAACGAGGTTTCAGATAAAATGATTCCTTATCGTGTGAAGAATATAACTTGGATGCTGCTTTTGCCAGTCTGTCTAGGGCAGCGAAGGGTATGGGTCTAGTACGCAGCGAGGACAAGACGAAATATTTCCTGCCATCAAACAAGCAGCCGTCGAATTCACGACTAGGCTTCCTCATCACTGTTGGTAGGCGTAGGTAACTTCGTCTATCTTGGAACTAGTATTAACACCAACAAAAATGTCTGCTTGAAAATCCAAAGCAGAATCACTCTTGCCAACAGGCGCTACTTTGGACTGAGTAGTCAATTGAAAAATAAAGTCCTCACTCGACGAGCAAAGACCAATTTCTACAAGTCGCTCATCGTTCCCATCGTGCTACATGGCGCGGAGGCATGGACAATGACAATATCTAATAAGTCGGCGTTAGAAGTGTTCAAGAAAAAGGTTTTGCGTAAAATTTATGGTCCTTTACGAGTTGGGAACGGCGAATACCGTAGTCGATGGATGATGAGCCGTATGAGATGTCCGGTGGAAACAGTCGAAGGAGATGACCTCAACGCCTTTCGAAAGGCCACGTAGAGAGGGATCTGGCTGTACGTGGTATCTCCAATGAATGGCGCAATGCTATAAATTCGACTATAATCGCATAAGCGGTGCCAGTAAGGAGAAGTAGAAGAAATTAAAAAAATATAAAAAGGGAAAACAAACTTTATTAAAGCGAGATGATTTAAATTAAACTACTAAATCGAAATAATTTAACTTAATTTAAAAAAAAAACAATGAAATTTATTATGTTTAATGGAAATTGAAATAAACTTTATAACAAATTATATAAAATAAATTAAATAAATTAAAAAAAAATTAAATTGTAAAAAATTCAATTACGTTAAGCTAAAAGAAGTTGAAAAACATTGAAAGTTAAAATTTACCAATAAAAAAAATTAATAATAAAAATTTAATTTTATTTAATATAGAGTCTCATTCAAAAATTAATTTTATTTTCAAAACTTAAACAGTTTGAAATGGATTTTAAAATTTTATTTTCACACCACTTGCAGACCTGGTCCATCATCTATCACAGTTGGTTGACATTCGTGCTGCTGCTGTGGGCCAACATACTCTGGATGATACCAAATCAGCGTAAAGCTATGATGCGTTCAAGTCCCTTCATCGTTTGCTACGCTGAGCTATTACTAATAGCGCAATATATTTATGGCATGAATTTGAAAAACGACGAATTACCCTCCAAAGTTGATGTGAGTAAAAAATCTCTATATTCTTCCAGTCTTTGCAATTAATTTGTTTATGATTTACTTTTACTTTTATTATATTTTTTTAAGTTTACCCACCACGATCCATCTACAATGAATACCTTATTTTTCTCTTTACTACAGACTGCCGGCATTAATTTGCAGCAAATCGGTCTCGAGCGTCCACAGGAGCACGGCACTCATCCGTGTGTACCGTTAATTGTGAAAACACTCTTTATACTCATGTTCTGGGTAACGTCACGTCAATTTTTCCAAGAGAAAGCCGAAGAGAAATTGAATAAACGTCGTACACCAGTTGCAATGGCACTCGAAACAATCGATTCGGAAACATCAATCGAATCGCAAAATAAGCATACATCAAAATTTTTAAAGAAAATCGGTGATATTGTTAAGAATCTCTTGGTACGCTTGTGGATCTGGATGCTGGTGTTGGTGATATTTCTTTGCGCTATGACTGGCAAATTTATGACCGGTTTTCGTATATGCTATATGGCGCTGTTCCTCTTCTTCTTGCTCGTCTTCCAATCATCATCGAAAGTGTGGGTAAAAGTGATGTATGGCTTTTGGCTATTCATCATTTTCTACGCCATGTCCATGCTGATATTAATTTATACCTATCAATTTGATAAATTCGATCAATATTGGTATGAGTATTTGAATATATCGCAAACGCTGTAAGTATGCATATTATATTAATAAGGTTTAATTATCTAAAATAAAAAAAATAAAAATACTTTGCATTCATTCTTTTCGCATTTTAGCCAAAACGATATCGGTTTGGAGCGTTATAAAACCAAAGATCTTTTCCTACATCTCGTCTCGCCCACACTAATTGTCGTGCTCACCGTTATACAAGTACATTATTTCCATCGTCGTTTCATTGAAGCCTTGCAACAGCGTAAACCATCCATGATACCGCCCGAAATGGTGGATAATAAACAAGATGCGGGCAAATCCGTGAAGACCGATCGTAGTAGTAATAGTGAAGCGACGAAATTAATTGTATCATCCCTGAAACGTATACGCAATATAACGAGACACTATTTTATTGTTTCGAAAAAATTGTTTTGGCGTTTCTTGGAGTTGCATATAATTAAAGCGGTATATATAACAGCATTTGTGTGCTGCGTTAGTCAGGTAAGACTTTTTAGATGTCGAAAAACCATTAATATTCAATAATATGAAAGAAAAATGTAGTTTTTGTCAGAAGTTATAGTTAAAAAATATTAAAATTTACCACACTTAACATACTTATCAAACTTTTTTTTTATAATAATTTTACAAAAACTTCAAAAATCACAAAATAATGAAAAAAGTTTTGAAAAATGAGGACTCAAAACTAAAAAGTATCGATACCTCAACATAGGCCGTAGTTCGATAGTCATAGAGCATCAATCGCCCCAGCAAGTTACCGGGCTCATCATTTCACGACCAATAGAATACTTCGGTACTACAAGATGAATATCTTTATTTATTACCGTTTTCGAAAAAATTAAAAATTTTTGAATATCAGGAAACAATTTTTTTCAGCACGTTGTTGTGTTTGTAGTATCCGCAACAATATTCCACAAATTGGTGATAGGAAAAAGGTGTTGTCCAAGACCGAATATCGTGTACTGGATTTATACGTCGATAGTTAGCCCAATTTTTCTGCGGCGTCACCCTATGTTGGCCGGCACTCGACAAAATTACTTTCTGAAGCAAACACGAGAAAGTTCAACGGTCGGCTGCTATACTGCTTCCAGGAGCACTGTACTTAACCTCCTGCTAACTCTACTCAACTTTCTTCCTCTGGACCTATACGAGTTCCAACGCAATCAGATTGAATGCTATTCAGCATTGGAAAAATTGCAGTATAGGACACATTAAAATGTCATTTCATGCAGAAGAAGGAACTGAACAGCATCACCTCCAGTATATGCCTCGACAACCTTTCTTCTACGAGAATCCCAAACAGAAATGAGCGGGAAATCATCAACGCTCTCGATTAGAGAGCCATAGCCAACTTTGAAGATAGCTCAATGCTCGATGGAAAAGTGGGCTGTTCTTAACAATATCAGCATAAGTTTGCCAGACTACTGCATCGTCTTCCAAGCGGAACTCTTTGCAATCAGGGAAACCGCCGAGAGCTACTTTAATCTACCGCAGCAGGACCATCTGTTACGATTTATTTCGACAGTCAAGCTGCCATCAAACCTCTACGTTATAACAATACCACATCAAAGATGGCTATAAAATGTTGCAGCAATCTTAACAAACTCTCGACTAAATGCAACACTGCCGTGGACTGGGTACCTGGGCACAGTGACATCCCATGTGGAGCCTTCACGGGAAGAGAGTGGAGTCTATTAAATATTTCCGCTCCCACTGGTCAACCTTGACAACTGCGCAACACAAATTCCGCGGGAAAGACTTCTTCAATTGTTTCGTTAAAATTGTGTATCTCGTTTCCTATCTAAGACAAACGAAGTAGTGCGATCATATGAGAAAGTGAAGATGGTGGCCTCAGCGCTGCATCACAATTGGTCTATAGGCCTAAGTGTGCTGGTAATGACCCTTCTCAGGGAATATTGCCCAAGTGACAGTTCTTGGCCGTATAAAAATCAGGGACTTTTAAAGTGATTTATCTTAATTATAAATATAATAGGCTTCTACGAAAAAGAAAATTAAGAGCTTTTTCGGCACCCAAAAATGTCTGTTATTTGAATTTTTAAGCATGTTAGGATACTGGAACAATTTTGAAATAATCTTTTTGAATTAATCATCAAATTATCTATAGACTCAAGAGTATCGTATGTATATTTTGAAAAATATTAAAAAAAAAAATTAGAAATCTTTTTTTTAGAATTTTTTGTTGGTTTAATTTTGGATATTTTCATTAGGACATTAATTAAATAAACTTCGTATTATGTTATTTCTTGGGTGAAATCAAACATTTGTACAAAAAATCAGTTTTAATTTATTTTAATGTCGAGCCCGACGCCTTTCAATTGCCGATTCGGTGTGTGTGATCTTTCTTATTCTATAATATCTATTTAAGTCATATTTATAATTAAATTCTATTTATTAAAAACAAATACAATTCCTGGAAGTGTCTATTGCAATATTTAATTACCTCTAACAATGCTGCTCTCACTTCTTCCAGATTTGCGTCATACACGTGGTATTCGTTGCGTTATGCGTACTGGGCTGTATAACACGTAGTTCTGTGCAAATTTTCATCAGTCGCATAATTTCCTTCGTTGTTTCTGTAATAATATTGTCGAAAATGATCTATCAAATAGGTTATCTATCACATGAGGATTACGATGTGAAATGTGTAAGTAACAAAATTCATAATTTTGTTTTTTAATATTTTTAATATTAACTCTGTTTTTTACATTCAGGAAAAAGACGACAGATTAAACGGAAATAGCGCATTATGGTTTGGCTTACAGAAAGCCGATGACACCACAAACGGTTTAATCGGTTTGATAAAAATGTATATAATCTATATGATTGTCGTCACACTGCACGCTGTGGTGAGTCTACGCCAATTCCAAATGCGTGCTATGAAAGGTAATGAACACAAGGCGGATACAAAGGTGCTCTTCCCCAGCACGGATCGTGCCAAAGCTGAAACGAATCTTAAATCAATGATACAATATCTCTTTAATTATGGTTTTTATAAATTTGGACAAGAAATCACGTTGATAATGTTGGTGACGACAATAGCTTATCGACAGGATATTATAGCAATATTCTATGTTATATGGTTGGCGGTGCTGCTAATGTTTAGTCGACGTCGGCGCAGCTCTGTGTGGGGCATATTTCAGGTGTTCGTTGCGCTGAGCATATTCTTGCAATATCTTGTTTTACTTGGTTTGCCGCCTAGTTTGTGTGTGGGTAGGTCTTAATTGAAATACATACATTGAAATATATTTACATATATACTAATGTCGCATAATTATTTCTTCTAGATTACCCTTGGGAGGACTCTCGTTTCTCTGCGTCAATACAAGGTTGGCTTCTCCTACCCGGTGATATGCACTATGATCACTCGAGAAAATTGATTTTCGATTTCATACTCTTACTAATGATAACACGTCAAAAGCGTATATTCCGTATCGAATTGCGTTACGGTGATAATTATGCCGGTGGCTCAAATCGTAATGTGGTTAAAGATATTGAAAATTTGGGACGTGTGCCATTTGAAAATCCCACAAGAGATTTCCTATCGCATGTACGTAACTATTTGGATATATTCATGTATGTCGTTTTGTGTGGCTTCTTTTGGGTCACATTGGCCACTGTCTTTTTGGCCGGTACGAATATGAGCGATTTTCTCACTCTGGGTTATCTAATTGGTGCTTTCACATTCCTATGGGAGGGTTCTGATTTCTATTTACGTCCAATACGTCAAATTATAAGTCGTTGGCGTTGGCTATTGGCATATAATGTTTTTAATATTGTTGTAAAGACATGTCTCGAAATGGGTGGTTGTTTATTTTTGAAAGAACTAACACAAAATTGTTGTTGGCTTGTACACTTGTTGGGTATATCATGTCATTTCTCAACGGAAGCTGTACATGATGAGGCAAAAAAGCATGTAGAAAGTGATTGCCCGGAAGTAAATAAATCAACCATACTTATGTGGGATACCATATGCTTCGCTTTTCTAATACTACAAATGCGTATATTCAAATCGCATTACTTCTGTCATCTCATTATCGATACAAAGGCGAACAGCATATTGGCAACGAGGTGAGTTTTGATAAATGAAAAAGTATTTTTTAGTAGATATATACTTCCGATTCGCTTTTGCAGAGGTGCTGAAATTATTGAGGATTTGCGTCAGAAACAAATTGAACATCGTCAACAACATGAAAATGAAATTTTAGTAAAGATTAAACGTAACATGGAGCGCATACGTGCTACACAACAGAAAATGTTGAAACCGATCGATAAGCCCACACATTTCGATGGTGAGTTGAGTTTTCACTACTTTTTTATACCCAAAAAAAAAAAACATTTCTTTGTGGAATATATTTGCATACTTAATCAAAAATACATACGTTAAAGTATTTTACTAATAAATAATAAGAATAAGAATTAAGAATAATAAAAAATAAAATACTCGCGCGCGATTAAAAAAAAGTGGACTTAAAAAGCTGGAAACTTTCGGAGCTTCGTTCCGAAAAGGATTTTGTACACCAAGTTGTTTTTAAAGGATAATACTAATTGTGTTTCAAAACACTTGAACAAAGGAAAAAAGCTTTTCGAGTTTGATTTTACTTATAAAAATCTAATATCTTAAAAGTTTTATCATTTTTTGGTATTAAAATAAAAATTAAAAAAAATTTCGAAAATTTTCGAGTTTGATTTTAAGTAAAATCACAAGTTTTTAATAATTCCCTACGGTTTAAGTATTAAAATTAAACTTAAAAAAATAAAAAGTTTGAAAAAAATCGAGTTCGATTTTAAGTGAAATCATTCATTTTTTAAATTTTTTTAAATATTAAATTAAAATTAAAAAAATTGGTTCCACAAACTTAGTTTATGCTATTAAATTAAAAAAAAACAGTAAATATAAAGACGTCAAGCGGTAGCTTGTCTAATGAAAACAAGATTAACTCTGTTTTCGAACGTAGTTTTATTTTAAAGTAAATAAACGATTATAAACAGAACGCAAAAGAAATTAATTTTTTTGTTGCCGTTTTGAGCAGTATTCTTTGTCTCTGTTTATTTCGAGAATTTCGTAATGTATCAATGGAAAGTTTTTCTTACAAAATAATTTTCTCACCTTAAGTGCAAACTTTTGGGACTTAAATTTTGTGACTATTTAATTTTTTTAATTTCATTACAAAATCTTTTTTTGCCTAATCAGAAGCCTTTTTTTCTGAAATGAATTTTTCAATTTTTAATCTTCGGGTGCTTCCGAACCTGCTAAGGAATTGCAAATTTTGAACACCAAATTATTTCTTATTTTTTACGAATGTTATTAATTTGATTTGGAAAAAATTGTAAAACAAATTTCAGTGCTGATTTTAAATCAATATTTTTGTAATTATCTCTATTCAAATATTTCAACTTTGTTATATCGAATGCATTTTCGTTCTTCGTGTAACTTCGTGCCTACTTTTAGGCATGATATTCTTCAATACTACATTTTATTATTAAGAGTTTTTTTAACACATGTGCGTCAGAGCTTTTTTCAATAAAAATTTTTGTACGAAAGAATGTGTAATGATGCGCTAAAGTTTAAATTTATAAGTTTTGTGCCACAAATCTACATATAAGTACAACATAACCACACTCAGGTCACATAAACACAAGAAGAAGAAACAAAAAAATACATAAAATAAAAAAAATCTATACCAAAGCCGATGATCCCACTGCCGATATTGAGACAAAGCCAACAATTCATGTTGCGCCATTAGCGCATCAAAGTAGTTTCAACTCCTGTCAAGGTTCCGGGTATCACACGCCCGATGACGATGATACGACCGATTCGAGCTCCACCTCGCAAATGCATAGCAACAGCAGCAGCAGCAGCGGGAACACTGGTAGCAGTCGCGAAAACAAAAAAGGCCATAAAAGGCGCATGCGCAACCATAGTCATGATGACGATAATGACAGTTCCAGCACTGAGGAATGTGTGCAACTTATCGATAATGATACAGTGCAACATAGAATACGCATTGAATTTGTCGATTATGGTGCTGGTTCGGCAGACTATGCGGATGTGCTCTCACAAAGTGAGGCCACCGAGAATGCGCTCGCCGAAGATGTTGCTGGTGCTATACGTTTGCGTTTACCGGAAATCGACATACAGCCGCATACGCAAGTAAGTAGAGATATATTAAAAAAATAAATAAAAAAATCATTTTTTATATTTGCTAACAATTTGTGTGTGCGCACCGAAGCCGACCACGCCCAGTTCGGATCACACTACCATACCGTTAGATGGCTTCCTAGACGTGCAACGCATGTCTTTTGGCTCTGGTCCCAATTCTGATTTGGCGGCGCCCATACTCGAGGAGGGTTCGGAATTATCGAATGAAGTTTTCTCGCCTCCAACTTATGTAACACTCTTAAAACTCGCTTAATTTGCTTTTCTGAATTTTTTATTTACTTCACTTCTCCTCTCTTTAGGACTCAATTCAACAGCCCACATTGTTGCATACCCTAGTGGTACCCGGTGCAACTTCCGCGAGCATGAATGTGAATGTTAGTGGTGGCAGTTCTATTATTTCTTCGAATTTGATTACAGATGGTGGTGGCGCAAGCAACAATACAGGCAGTCGGCATCGCCGTCAGTCGTCCGTTAATGTTGTTTCGTGGAATGAAACTGTTTCCGTGCAATGTGCACCCGATGATAATACGGATCCGGCTGAGGAAGTAGGTTTTTAAATGAAGATCTTGGGATGCTGGCGCCATTGAAAAGTGTTGGTTGAATAAAGCGAAAGAAATCAAAAAATTTGAAAGAAAAAAAATTTGGTCTTTAAACTCAAATATTCAAATATTTTAATTTTGTACAATAATTTAAACGTTTAAAAAGTGGCAAATTTGCTATACTTCATATCACGGTTTAAAAAATGTTTTTCTGTTTCAATAATCCAGGAGATTTCACCTAGCAGTTTCTGTTTAAATTTATAGTTACATTCATTTATTATTAATATAGCAAAAATTTAAAGACATTTTGATAAGACTTCTTAAAAAATGTCTCTATTTAAATTTTGCAAGTCAACATTTTTCAGTTTTCAATTTTACCAAAACGGTTTTAACCTAAAAGTTAGTACTAAAAATGTTGCGAAACATTTTGTCAACCAACCTTTTCAATTTAATCCCCATCTCGTACACTGTTTGTATTAATAATGAAAAAAAAAAATGAATAAAAATTAAACATACATTTCATCAGCCCTCAATGGAGGTACCTGTGACGATGCGTGAGAAGTCCCTACATCGACGCCACTTAAGTCTCGGCAACGCTACCTACCCGTTGGATGAACAGAGCATGTTGCAGGATGGCAATCGTCGCTACAGCAACGTCTCGTGGGCACGTGAGGTGGTCGCTCAACGCGCCAAAGCTCGTCCACATAGTTGGGGACCCGTTGGTACGGCGTATTATATGGATTCTTTGATGTGTGAACCTGTTGATACGAAGCTGCATGGACAATGTATTTGGACACTAATAATTTTTGTTTAATTTCTTCTCTCTCTAAATATTAAGCATAGAGTTTTGTATTGTGTATAATAATAAAATTGTATATATTAGTAAAAAAAAAAAGTTTGTATTAGAATATTGAAATTTTTTTAAATAAAAAATTAAAAGAAAAACAGTTAAGCACTGCATTTTGTAAATAACACAAACAATTTTTTTTTCAACCGGGTTAACAATTCTTCTGTAGCAATTTTTTTTACTGACTAACAACTGTATGATTGTAAAATATGTACAAAAGGAAAAAAAAAAACAAATTGTAAATAATTGCGAGCAATGCTCACTAGTTGACGTGTTAGAAACGTGTTGTTGTAGGTGATGATGTATTTCTTCTGGCTGAAATTTCATTTAAAATACGCTTTAATATGCAATGTAAGTGGCTTTTTTTTTCAAAAAATTACTTTTTTAACCAAATTTGAAACCACTGAAGCCGCCTTTAGTGGTGTCTATTAAGCCTGGCTTACAGTAGTAGTCTTTCTTTTCCATAATTATTATTGCTGGCACACTTTATTTCCGCTAATCTGCAATATCAGATTTTTAATATTTAATTATGCTTTATATTTATGTTATAATTATCATTATGCTTATTACTTTTAATTTTTGTACTCTTCTTCAATTTTCTTTGAATTTATTTGTTTTTGAATATTTCTAGAACATGGTGCTCCGAGCAAACTGCACAAACGGAAAGAGATTAAGTTACACGGACCTGGTAAAACCCATTTATTTTATCTACATATATACACGGCAAAGAAAATTCGTTTTTTTTTTATTGTTTATTTTCATTAATTAAATGTTTATATGTTGCACTTAAGTGCTATCTTTATTTTTTTATTCAGAATATTTAGTTTAGTCCTCTCTTTGTTTATGATGCACATACGGCTTGCTATAAAAAAGTACTTTTTTAGTATATATGTATATTTTTTTTTAATACTTTAAACTCCTTTTGGTATGAATATATTAAAAATATTGACATACTCTTTGCATTGTACATATGTATATACATATATCAATATGTGTTTGAATATTTGTTAGCTTTTACTAGTTTATTATGTGCATATGTATACAGTCTTGCCTTTCCTTGTTTGTTTGTATGTGATTTATGTACCTTGAAATTTATGTACCTTATTAGGTTGAATTGTATTGTTTTTCCATCTAAATATTCGTAAGCTAATATTTTGCTTTCTTTAAATACATATTTATAAGATCTTGCCTTTTTTGTGGTATACCACTAGTGCGTGAAGACTTCAAATTTTTTTTATTCATTTATTTGTAAATAATGTCATTGTTCCTTTCATATTAGTGTATATTCTCTATTTATCTCTGATCGCTCAGTTGAATGTATTCCTTAATCTATAAAACAAAGCGATTTATTATATTTTTACCTTTACCTCAGTATGCCGTAACTGACCTACTTATTTAATTATAATTTTTTTTATAAAAATATTTAAAGCTTGTAGTTGTTAAGGGTATTCTTTAGACTATGGTTTTTTAGTATTCGATCCTTTTTGTACTAGTTTTGGTTTGCCATTTCAACAATGAAAACACAAATTCAGTTCGTGTAAATTCTTTATCAAAATCATGGTCCGGTTCGCATTACGTATCGTGCAATGTGCACAATATTCGGTCGACATAAACGCCTAGCAGAGTGGGTAATTCGAGCAATCATAGATCGGCACCACTTTGACTGGATGAATAATACCAAAACGAGATGACCATCGATCCCGATTCACACAAGAAAATTTGATTCAGCGCTGAAGCTCACTTTTAGTTGACTGATTGACGTAAATGAACATTTTGAGTGAGGAGAGCTAATGCACAAGCCATTGTTGAGACGCTGTTATATACATACTCGTATACTCTGAGTTAACATGAGGATACTTTTGTCGCTTATTCTCGTTATTTTTTTTTTGTGTCGCTCTTGACGTTCACACATAGATACTTTCTCGAGACAATTATTTTGAAATTGGTTTCTTCATCACTTTTTTCTCTATTCCGCTTTATTTCACACTAGCAGTTTTTCGTTTTCTTCGCGCTCTTCAATATTTCTGAAGTAAAAACGCTATGTGTGAGTAAAGGAAAACACAGTGTTTATTTATCTATTTCTTATACATATATATTTTTATATTCTATTAAACATCATCTCTATCCTTTCGAATCCCGTGTGAACTCGGACATATACATATATAATTGGCGACTTATAACCGCTGAAGCGTTTTTTGGCCGAGCTTCTAATTTGTGCATACGTCTTCCAAGATCGTGCCCTTTATCATCGCTGGACTGTTTTCAATGGGGTTATGTACAGTCGCTTGTCTACGCAGATAAGCTCGATACGATTGACGTATTAGAAGAAAACATTCCACGCATTATTGCTGGCACGCAGCCTCGGCTGCAAAAAGTGCACAAAAATTGAGCCTCTAGGCTGGTTTTTATTTGAGCATGCCGAATGGTCACTTGGTCGAAATTATTTTTAAAACATAATGGCAAACCCTTAACTTTATATTAAAACTAAATTCTTGCTAATAACATTAAAGTAAACACGTTTTACTTTTTTCTTGAAAACCACATGTCTACAAAAACACTAAACTCCCTATAATATCCAAGATATTTTTAAACATTTTGTGTATACATTATCTAGTTTTCCATACTAACATTTATTTTATTAATTGTTTTAAATTAAGTTAGAATTAATAACTAAATTGTTCATTTATGATAATTTTTTATAAAATGAAACCTTTTACTAATTTCCAAACATAATATAAATATTACCGTAATAATAACCACCAACCCATCCATAGCATTGCTTATTTGAGTTAAGTTGAGATTTCCCAATTGATTTTTCCACCTTTATTTGTAAAACAATTTATTTACTTGTAAGTGTTATTTTGCATATTTTTTGTTTCCTTAGATGCGCCCGATGCGCCTGTAGGTACCGTTGTCGTTGAACAATTAAGGCTGCCACATAAAAAAGGTTTAACTTTGAGTTCATTAATTTTTTCTCTTTTGTATGAAAAAATTTTTTGGTTGTTGTGGAATTTTAATAAATTTGAAAAATTTAAATTTAAAACTAAAAAAAATTACGCCAATGCAAAGTGAATACTAAAACACGAGCGTTTATTTGGCTGTGTCGAACCTTTTCTAATTAACAAATGCTTAATTATCTACTAAAAAAAAAAAAAGAAATTCTTAAAGGTAAATGCTGCGCACTAAATCATATTATAATATTCAAATATGGTTTGAAAAAAAATATAATAATAATAATAATAACTTATTTGGCACATACGGTCAGCTTCCGCTCAAAGGATCTACTACTTTTAGAGAAAATGTAGTTTTGAACTAAAAAAAAATAAGACTAATATTCTATGAAAAGTGCTGTGGTTGCTAAAGTTGCAATAGAAAAGTAGCCTGTATTATTGAAAAAAAAACTTATAGTTTTGGTGTCTTGTAGCACAAACTCATACAAATATCTTCAAATTCAGCATTGTATAATCTTCAGCTTATATAAAAATGCCTGTTACATAGCTCTTTACAAAAAAAGCAACAAATTAGCGTGCGTTACTAACGATATATGGTACTCTGCCTTAGCTTCTATACTATCTACTTACATGCATATTATATAAATGGTATATAAATATTATATATTTTTAAATGAATGTTAAACACACATACTTACTACTTGTACAATTGTCTGGTGTTCGTTTTTCTTTAATGCTTTTTTTGTAAATACATAAATACTTACATATATACATACATATTATTGTAACCTATACACCTGTAATCATACATCTATGTAACTGTGCTTTTAAAAATATATAATGGACTTTATTCGATGATGACTTAAAATTTTTGATATTAAATTTTCATTTTTTTTTTTTATTTATTTTAATTCGACAACAATTCTAGCTGTACGTGCTGGCGATTACTACATGTTCGAGGATGTTGATGATAAATTCGAATTGGATGTTATTGATGATGAGCAAGATTTCCTTTCCGAACAGGAGAGTGAGAAGAAATTGCAGCGACGCAAAACAGTTATACATGTGAGTGGGAGTAAATGCCAATAGTTTTGTGATTAAAATTTATGATTTTTTTTTCTTTTTTTTTGAGAAAAAAATCTGCTACTAAATTAGCTGAATTGAATTAAATTATAGATTTATATTAAGAGCATTTCAAGTAGATACTTGATTAGTGAATTTGGTATTACAAAAAAAAACTGTTTGTACAGTGAGTGTTATAAATATGCAGCATGCGCGTAAATTCGTGCATATATACATATGTATGTACATGAACATATTATCTATAGAATAATTTTTCAACAATTTTTAACACAAAAATTTTACACAATTTTTAACACAAAAATTTCACACAATTTCTTATGAGCAGTCATAGTTTTTAAACAGATTTTCTTTTATTTTATACATCTAATCGAAAGTTAAGATTGGTCTAATAAAAAATAATGCATTTTTTTGCATTAAAATTGAATCGATAGAGATATGTGTGGTTTGGCGTTGTTCTGATGGAACATAATTCCTCTCCTGGTCGTTAATTCTAGCCTGGAGACCGTGAGACCGTTTGTGCCGTCCAAACGTTCTTCAACAACGATTGTTTTTGTATGACGTTGCTGTTGATCTAAATTCAACATCAGTCACTATCCGCAGGAATTTCTTCTATTTTAGGAGCTGTAAATTTTATTACAACAGTAATTAATATACGATCTACCGGAATTTCATTCGACCGAATACCTCTATTTGTTTGAGCAATAGCTCTTACTGCACTACTTCTATTACTATCTTTACCAGTTTTAGCAGGAGCTATTACTATATTATTAACAGATCGAAATTTAAATACTTCATTCTTTGACCCAGCTGGAGGGGGAGATCCTATTTTATACCAACATTTATTTTGATTTTTTGTTACGATTCAGCAGCGGTTTGTAAATGGAAATTCGGTTCATGCAGTTTTCTCTCAAGAGCTCATGTGGCCCCTATGCATAGAGCCTATCTATGTTTCAAGACCATTTCAAGTGGTTCCAAACTTTTTTAATCTGAAATGTTTGGCTCTTGGATAAACGACACAGGGTTTGCAAGTGCTCAGACTTATCGATTTCATTTTACACCAAAATTACCGGAGGGAAAGAAATGTCCGCTGTACTTTGAAATGTGCTAGCAACATCAACTCGACACCGTTCTTTGAAATTAATAATTTCGCGCACCTTTTTACCCAAGATTTGGCATACAGACTTGGGTAAGAAGACTTATAAAGTTCAATTGGTTCAATGACTGAAGCCTCCTGGCCATCTGAACCGGCACCGAAAAATCAATATTTTCAATTACGCACGACAGCAATGTTCAGCTACAACTAGCGAAATCCTCTTGCCCCTTTTTCACCTGAAAGGGTACCAACTCGAACTCGATTGCATAAAAATTCCGCCAACTAACAACTCAAAGTTACTGGGAATAACATTCGGAAGTCTGCACTTCGCACACAACAGCGATTTCCACAAAGATACAGAGCCCCAAAAATATCCTCAAATCGTTAGCTGACAGCATCTGGCGAATAAACAAAGAAACGTTGCCCGAAACAAACAAAGCAATTGGCAGGCCGGTCGTAAGATATGCTTCTGCGATTTGGACTCCGGGTACCAGCGAAACGCAAAGGACACCGCCCTCACACCCTCACCACCGCCCTGACAGGAAACCTCTTTATATCGCCACAGCAACACTTGCATAGCAAAGCATTTGCGCTATGGGTAAAGGAGCATAGTTTTATGCTGAGCAAGCAATATCTTTTTTCATTCTTTTCAAGTGAGCGACGTTACCGGAATCCAAGCCACACCCACTGCATACGAAGAGTTCGAGCTGCCTCAAGAACGTGAATGATACTGGCACAATTAAGATCCATTTATCCGGACTTGACTCCGACAAGGCCAACGTACAAATGTCCTGAGGCCTCGTACGACATACTCCTTAAGCCGATTTGTCGAACGCCACGTTACCTCTAGTCCAAACCCGTCGGACCTGCTAGTTTCCTCGACCTAATATTAGATGACCTCGACGACTTAGACTAGCCTCGCCTGCTCCTAATTGGGTTCGAAAATCGCTTCAGCGGTTGCAAAATGCACAAAAGATAATATGAACTTGTTTTCTTAGTCTTTGGGATTACAAAACCACAGCCAAAACCTTAAAATCAATGCAAAAAATTAGTCAACGTCAACGAAAATAATGATTTTTATTATTTTTTTTTTAAGAAATTTAAACTGATTGCCGAATTTTTATAACACTCACTGTGCGGCAGTCAAAACCATACAATATGCTAATATCTATATACTAAATTAAAATCTATTCAATACTTGCTGCCCAAATTCGGATGCTTATCAAAATTTTAACCAAATTACACGCCTACACACAAAATTACACTGACCAAAAAAAACAAATGTTAACGCAAAAAAAAATTTCCACCAAAAAAATTAATGCTTCATCAAAAAAAAAAATATATAAAAAATAAATAAAAAGGTTTGGAAGGACATACAGACAGCCGAATTTCGTCGTCAAGTCTATATGCGTCAGCGTTCGTACGCTTCGGCGCCCGGCTCTCGCATTGGCATAAAAATCGATGAGGAATTAGAAAAAGAAGATGCCAATGAGACAGGTGTACGCACTTCAACAATTTCCGAGCCGTACGACTACAGTGTGCCGCCGCGTTCGGCGAGCGAATTCTTTGTGAGTTTTTTTAGAAACTAAATTAATGAAATTTTCAAAAATTCTCAAAAATCAGTTTGTCGATGTCTACTACTGTGATGCACGCACCCCACGAGTTAAAATGGAACCAGACAGCAATGCTAAGCTGTATATACATATAACATTTGTACAAAATATATCACGATTCTTGAAATTACTTCATCTGTCCTTTGTCAATGTGTATTTTACGAAAAAAAAAAAAAACAAAAAAAAAATTTTTTTCTTATTTAGACTTTTAATGAAATATTTTGTGTTGAAAATCGCAAGAGTAACTTCGCTTAAACGTGAAGTTTTCCAGCATAATCCCGCGTATTGTTAAGTTATTTTTCTATAAGCCACCAATCACAATCACATGAACACATAAATATTTAATACAAAGCACGATTTGGATTTGAAAATTCCGCAGCAAATATAGTAAAATTTAAAGCAAACACCTCACTGCGCATTCACAATGTAGAAATTCCACACACACACGCATATTTAAAAAAAAAAATTAGATATCAAAAAAAAGGGTCGAATTATGCCACCAACCCATATCTTTTAGAATAGAAGTGGTTTATTTAGTAATATTACACGCTTTTGTAAAGAAAGTTAAGTGCATAGTGAGGTTAAGGATAAAGCATCGCTAAATGAAAAAAAAAAATATATATATATATTTAGTCTTACATAATATGTTTTTTCGTTCTTCTTTGCTCCACACTTCACTATGCATTTCGGCCTAAAAATACCTTTTTGATTTCAATAAGTGTTTTGGAATAAACAAAATCAAATATTATGTTTTTAATAATATTAAAATTTCTTATATCTAAACTAGACCGAAATTAAACGCAAATCCGAGTCGGAGCCTTCAACCAGCAAGGAAGCAAAGGAGGCGTCAGAAATGGAAGAAAAGAAGAAAAAGGGTGATGTTGTAGACTCAGAAGAATCCGAAGATGGTAAGTGAAAAATAATTATAAAAAATCTTAATAGTAATAGCGGAGTGATTAGAAATGCGTACTAGCATTCGATTAGCTTGGGTTCGAGTCATGATGTGACCAATAACCAAGTTTTTAGAAAATTAATTGTTCTTATTGCTGTCGTCCCATGGCAGGGAATATAAAGCCTTCTGTGTGCATTACTGACGTGAAAATCAAATCTCCTCATAAAAACCCGTCAGCCATTCTACGGACGCTTAACTTTAAGATGGGCATAAATTAGAGGAGAAGCACGGCGGAAAATTACTATATAAATTATATCTAGGTTTTCACATATGTATAAACATATACTCGTATATAAATTCCAATAGTCTCGCATAGAGTCGGGGCTTAATACCGAAACGACCCGGGTTTTTATCCTGCCAAGAATTGTCACTCACACAAGATTCCCGGAAAACTAAATTTAGGTTACCACAACAATAACAGGAAGCGTTTTAGCCATGTATATATTTGCCCATCCAACTATCCAATCATCCGTCCGTGTATCAAATAACTCTAGTAAGGATTGAGTTATTATGAAGAAGCTTAGTACACACTTAGCTTTGTGTCACAAGTGCGATCCGCATCTACGGAGCTATGCTATTATTGAAGTAAGTTCCTAACAAAAATTGTTAACGTCGGTCCAGAAATAGACCTAGCTCCCGTGTAACCCATATAACAGGCATACTTTTAGACGATTCGATAAATATCAGCCAAGTATCTAATGTTTCACCCGGGTCTTTCATACCTACTTTCAAAGGTAAACGTAAATAAAATTTACTAAAAATAATTCCTTTCATGAAATTCCTTTTTTATTATAAAGTTTGAACCTTGGTATTCAATGTGAAACACTTTATAAGTCTAATGGCCACCGCGCGAGTTCTTGCAAAATTCGATCAATTTGAGGTCATTTTCAACAACTTTTTGGCACATATTGGACGGTCCCTCAGCCTCAACTTGACGAATATTGGTTTTCAAATGATCAAGAGTTAAAGACTTATCCGTATAAAGACGGTCTTTCGCGCAGACCCACAAAACGTAGTCGAACGGTGTTGAATCTCACGATCTCTGTGGTCAATACAAGGCGAGAGATTAAGTGGCTTGGAAACTCCTTTCGCAATTAAGACACTCGTTTTGTGAGGCATGTGGCATATTTCTTGTTGAACCCACATATTTTCCAGTCAGTTATCAAACGACCATAAAGCTCCGATTTGACAGCCTCGCTGTTTTTTTCATCGATGTAATATCCAATCGCACCTCTGGACCAAAGAGCGCACCACACAGTAATTTTGTTTTTTTTTTGGTGGAATGCCCTCTTTTCTTTTGCTTATTTACGCACCCCCCCGAAAGAGAAATGTGTTTCGTCACTGTAGAAAATTTTGTGTGAAAAATCTCCATCCACTGTTTGTTGTTCAAGCACACAATCGAAGTATGTACGCCGTTGTAAATGGTCAGCTGGCTTCAGTCGTAGTTGAGCTGGAATTTATATGCATGTAGATGTAAGGCCAAGGGCTAAATATGTCATAAAGAGAATCCAAGTTCTTGGGAAGGTCAAAAAATAGACACATGGAACTATTTATACATCTTAATCTCCTTTTAAAGAGCGAAACGTGGCCACACTTGAATCATCATCTCTTAAATTTTGACAGATGTCAAATACCTGAACTTTTGAAGCGCTTCGTAGTAACCCTATATGTATATTTAACCACTATATTAATATACGTTCTTTGCCACTATTCACCTCAACAAAATTTTTCAAATTGGTTCACAGTTCTTTTCCCTTCTTATTAATATAAGTTCTTTGATTTAACTATAAAAACCTATCATTATTATTTCCAAATTTTTATAACAACTTTTTTTCCACAGACTTGGAGGCAAATCCCATTGTGCGCCTATTAGAAGGTTTCTTGGTCACCCTAACAATCGGTTTACATCGTTTGTCACGAAATTATCGTTATGTTAATAAAATTATGTCCAATGAAAAGCGTTTGCTTAAGGTAAAAAATTTCATTTAACACATGTATTTATATTTAATTTTATAATAAATAATAATATTGAAAATTTCAGGAGACACATAGCGTCAATTTAGTGCGCAGAGGTGGCAGTTCAATATTTATTAACATTAAGGGTCTGTCGCCAAAGTAAGTTCTATCATTAGAAAAAAAACTTTCTAAAATAAATTTTGTTTGCTTGAATTTTGCTTGCATTTTTGAAAGCTTGTTAAACGATTTAAGCGTTGGTTTTATTTTTTATAAAAATTTAAACTTAGTTTTTTTTCGGTTATGAGATTTATATATAAATTTAATTCACACATTCACTGTTATTCAATTATAAAAAGATGCTGGATTAAAGCCTAAAAACTTCGTCACTCAGTAGTCCTTTAAATATTATCATAACCGAACATGAATCACCCCGAATCCTAAAGTGTCACGTTTAAATTTCATATTTGTTCATCTTTGAAAAGTTTTTCGTTACTATTTGTTTTACAAAATATTTATGTTTATCTTAAAAATCCATCATTTTTTATCTATTCATATTTCTTTTTTAAATATATTTTCGACATGTTTACATAAAAGTTTCAGCCCAATTAGAAAAAATAAACACAAACATTAGAATATTTAGCGTTTTCTATGGAGTAAAAAATTCGTCATGAAAATTGTTTTATTATTAAAAAATTAAAAAAAATAAAAATAAAATGTATATTTTTAAAGTAAATATTTCTAAGGATATATATATGTACAAGCATGCATATATAGCGCTGAAATGATTTTCGTTTTAAGTACATACATATTTATTAAGCCTCTGAAGCTTAAACCAACGCTTAAGACCCAGAAATATTCTTGCCAGACTTTATTTTGAATTAAAAAGCAAACATTTAATTTAAAAAAAAATCGAAAATTATTAGAAACCAAATTATGCAGCATTTTTACCAGCATATAGACTTTTGTTTTCACTTTGTATTCATTTTTATTTTTTATTTCTTGTTCTTTTTTGCATATACCTACATATTTGTTTCGTTTGTGCCACGTTTACTTTGGTGCCATGCCGCAATACTACATGTTCATGATCATCGCCACTACGAAATATACCTACACCTTTATTTTCCACCAACGCAAAAAAAAACAACAACAACAACATTTTGTGTATACATTTTGTTTGACCTACCTACACTAAAAATCATTTTATTTAATTTTATTTATTTTTTTTTTTAATTTTTCCTGTATTATTTTTTTATTTTGTGTTTTTTTTGTTGTCACTCTTTTATATTTATTATCGCATTGCATCGTAAATATTAGTGATGAAAATGCTGATCTTGCAAATGGCTCAATTGGCTCAGCTTCGATTGATACCGAAAATGATATACGACCATTACCGCATAGTATAACGAATGTCACCGATTTAAATACCATTACCTCAGACAACACTACCCATACACCATCACTCATAACTGATACACAAGAACTACAACAACAACAACAACAGCAAACAGAGGATCCACATGCCATAATTGATATGTCTGTGGACACTGTTGATGCGCCAAAGAATAGGTAAAGTGAAGCAGAATTTAAAAAGAAAAATGGTTAGAAATATACATATATATATATATTTATATTTGAAAAAACTTAACATATCAAATATATTTATATAATTTTAAACATACACTATTAGCACATTTCTTCTTACATTTTTTTTTGTCATTATTATTAAAATATTTGTATTATTCTGCGGCTTGTAGTTGCTTTAATGTCATTATTTTCTTATTTTATTTAACTCAGAATGTATATATTTCATAAAGATAATCAATTTGCCTTATATGTACATATGTATTTCCACATAAATCACTACTAACCCTCTACCATATTCTCATCATTCTCATACTCTTTATAGACGCGATGATGATGGCTCAGTGTCTTTACAAAGATCGTAAGTATTTATCATGTTTCCAATATTTTCTCGAAATAAAATTTAAATCCAAATCCATACAACACTAACCACGCAGTTACATTAACACCAAATTACAATAATATAAAAAACATATATGAAGAATGCGCTAAACGAATGATGAATTATTCTCTTTTATTAATATTTCTTATCTGAATACTCTTTTTTCTGAACTCTAAAATATGCATATATGAAAAAAACCTTACTTGTTGTAAAGTTTTCTATCACAAGCAAGTCTTAAAAAAATATTTTATATCATAATCTTCAATCGAATAACTGTTATTCACATACTTTCTAAAATAATTTCAAAAACTCAATAAAGCAGCTGAAATTGTGCCAAACAAAAGAGTATATTTTAACTAAAAGCTCGCATGAGTGCTTTGCTTTGTGCGCATTTTGAATAAGCATAATTTTAGACTAAAACATAACCTAACTCTTTTCGAACACTTTCCAAATTCCACATTAAAACATTTACAAATTAATATTGTTTTTTTTTTTATGCGGAAATTTGAATTTTATCAAGAGCTCACTCGATTCTCCCTCCCCCAACTGTCAATAAAACCATCATCCACACATAAACATGCACACACATAGACATATATCTCTAACTATGTATGTTTGTATGTATGTAAACTGCTGTGTGCGCATTTCCTTTATCTACTATTTTCCTATAAAAAAAAAATCCTTCCACCTAACATCAGTCATGATTCGGTAGACTTGCCAAAGATTTGCATTAAGGCACCTTCATTCGATTGCAGTAACAATTTTGCGGGGCTGTTAAGTAAGCAATGGTCATATGAAAAGATGGACAGGTACTAGTTAATTTCAAGTATATTTATAACAACTAGTTTTATACCGCAAAATTTCAAAAAAAAAAAAAAGAAAATTTAAAAAAATGTTTTTTTCTTATTTTCACTTAAACTAAATTATGCATTTTGTGCATTTTATTTAAATGAACTTGTGAACTTTACTTTGATTTCCATTGGCCAGTTATGCGCACGATTATTAATATATAAGTTATATAATTAATTAATATTATAATATAATAATAATATATTTCTTCGCATCGCTTTTTATGCGCATGCTTATATTGTTTTCTCAAATTGGCAAAAGGATGAAAAAATATCAAAAACAAAAACTTATTCGAATAATTGAAAATGTACGCTGAAACTCTTAATAAGTTGAAACGTATTTTCATCAAATAAATTAAAAAAAAAAAAATTAAAATCTAAAGCTACTTGAAATATATTTTTCGATAACGCTTTCACCATATCATTAAATATTTCAATTCCACCTTAAAATTACTGTTAATTTCTTATAACATTAATATATTATTTTCATCTCTTATTATCTTAGCAATAGTCTTATGCTGGAAGAGGATTTCACCTCACGTGAGCATCATATTATTATCGAATTTCTGATATCTCTCTGGTATGCCTTGCTATCGAATACGGACATACTCTGCTATCTTATCGTGTTTATTAACCAGGTCAGACACTTGATTTGTTAAAGAAAAAGAAAATATTTCAAAATTTTGCACGTTTTAAATTTACCACAGGTGGTAAATGCCAGCATAATATCGTTACCACTACCGCTAATGGTATTCCTTTGGGGTACGCTCTCATTGCCACGTCCAACGAAAACCTTCTGGGTCACACTCATTGCCTATACACAGGCGATAGTCTTGATCAAATGCATATTCCAGTATAAATTGATTTGGGCCAATCATGAAAATTTCCTAAATGAACCATTGTCGCCAGCGAAAATTTTCGGTGTCGAATTAAATCCAAATTATGCTAGCTATGATTTGTTGTTGCTGCTAGTGTTATTCTTTCACAGGTTTGTATAAATACCTTTGGCTTTCTGCTAATTGAATTAAAATTTTTAAAAATTTTCTCCTCTATCTCTCACATTTTCAGATTCATATTAAAATCTCATGGTCTTTGGAAGTCAGAATATAAGGTACCACGTGGTGGCACACCAGATAGGTAAATAATTAAATCATATATTTTTTACATTAATATTTTTTTAATAAATTATTCATTTTCTTACTTTAAGAGGTATGGCAAATTCATGGACTTTTTTCAAAATTGATACAAGATCTTATTAAACTGAAAATTAATATATTTTTTATGTATATGTACAGTGGCGAATGAAATCCTTAGGGCAGTGGAAATTTTAAAACTGCGAAGAAGGTATTTTTGGTTGTTAAAACACTTTGTTGTCACAAGTAGTAGCTGAGAGAGTACACAATAGAACATATTTTATTTATATATTTGAGAGAGTCTTTACGACGTTTTTAATGTACTTTTGGTTAGGCATTAATTTCCCAAGGTTTATCAGGCAGAAGATTACGCCAGCCGTTGGGGTCACCGAACTAAGTACGTTATATTTACAGTGGACGAGAAAATATTTTTTTTTTTTTTTTGTTTAAAAAATATGTACTATATGTACATGTGGACCCAATAATGTAATAAAGGGGACATTTTTTCGAAGGGTAAACTAAAAACACTTATATAGACGAAAACATATATTTAAATAATATTTTCCTACCTTCCTACATATTGCACATTTAACTTTTCGATTAATTCACCTTTTTTGTAACTCAGTCCGCAAGTTTTCATGCCAAAAAAAAAACCATTTGATTTATGAAACGCTAGAGCTGCGAGTCGTCATATCTTACACGTTGCACCGAACGCCAACCGCTCGAAAATGGGCTTGGTTAGCACAAACTTAAACAATTTATAAAATCGGGCGAACTATTCCTAAACATTTAGTTAGAATACACAGCACAATAAGCCTGCTCAATGGCTAAAATGCGGTCGCTTGAGGTCAGGCCCTCAACTTTCCTCTTTCAATCAACCAACCAACCAAGCAAATTATAAAATATATATATAATATAGTTTTCGAGGTTGACTTCATATTCTAAAACTCGCATGATGTTCCCTCTTAAAACGATTATGCTATTTTGATTATTATTTAAAAGCGTCGAAAATACAAATGTATGTATGTATATAAATGAAGCACCTACAATTCAATACAAATTTTCTAAACTTTAAAATCTTCCATTAAATCTTAAATGTACCCACTAAAAATAATTTTAAGAAAAAAATACGTCTGTTATTTGATTTTCTCAACTCCACATTTTGGTTTGAGAAGCGGTTAGGGCTCTAGAGATCCTTAGTGGTATTATAATTGGCCCGTTCGGCTGCCTAAGCGTGCTGTTCCACTTCATCCTAATATAGGCCAGGTTTGGGTAACAAAACTCCAATTAACATTTTTCCATTATTCATTGCTACAAATTAAGTCAATACATTATTAATTTTCTTATACCTTTTTTGATTGAAGCAGTTTTTATAAAATATTTTTTCCGCTAAGGGAATTTAATTTGTCACTTTCTTTACCTACCAATAGAACAACTCAAGGCATTGAAAAAGAAAAAGAGTTGGAAGCTACTACGTACACAGAAGAACGCACAGAAACAGTTGCTGGAGAAAACACTGCTGCAACAAATGACAACAACCGGCTTGGCGAAAGTGATGGCATTCGAAGGCGAAATACGAGGGCTGCAGAAAATGAGAGTAATGAGGGTGAAAATAACACCGATGAGAGGCGTGAGAATGGCACGGAAAATCGAAAAGAAGGTGGCGCCGATGCACGAGAAGATAACAAGCAGCTAATTAGAAAATCCTCTACCGATAATTTATCTATGAGGAGTCAAGCAAGCCTAAGTTTTAGCACATATCAGCGAAGACTGAAACATTTAAAGTATTAAAAAAAATTAATTTACGGTAATTTAATATTTTTATAATTATTTCTTTTCGATTTCACGTAGACGTGCCAAGTACTTGTCATCCGTACGGAAATTCTTTTCGAATTTACTCTCGAAATCACGCCTGCCCGCTGATGTCTATGCGCTAATGTTCCTATGTGATTTTGTTAACTTTTTCGTATTACTTTTCGGTTTTACATCATTTGGCGTAAGTTTCATAGATGCATAAATATCTGCTATTATTTTTTTTTTTTTTGTTATAAATATTAATGCATTATCCTTACATTTAGTCACAACAATCGGCTGGTGGCGTACAAACCTATTTGGAGGAGAATAAAGTGCCAACCCCATTTCTAATTATGTTATTGGTACAATTTATGTTAATCGTTATTGATCGAGCGTTGTATTTGCGTAAGGCTTTGCTACACAAAATCATTTTCCATTTCCTCTCCGTCATTGGCATACATATATGGATGTTCTTTATTGTGCCTGCGGTAACGGAGCGTAGCTTCTACTCGCTGGCGCCACCAATTATATTCTACATCATAAAATGTTTCTATATACTCTTGTCTTCGTATCAAATCAAATGTGGTTATCCTAAACGTATTTTGGGCAACTTTTTAACAAAGAGTTTCTCGCTCATCAATATGATGTCTTTTAAGGTGTAAGTTTATATTTTATTTGAAATCTACATATATGTATATATACATAAATACACTATATACGCTATTTTCCAACCGCATTTCAGTTACATGGCCATACCATTCTTATACGAGTTGCGCACAATACTCGATTGGGTATGCACGGACAGCACAATGACACTATTCGATTGGCTAAAAATGGAGGATATATTTGCTGATATTTACTTCATTAAGTGTAGTCGTCAAATGGAAACTGATTTCCCGGCCATACGCGCTACCAAAAAACCGATTTTAACCAAACTTATTATGGGCGGCCTGTTCATTACAGCAATTGTATTTGCACTCTGGGGTCCACTCTGTTTATTTGCGCTGATAAATGCTGTTGGTCAATCGAATATACCAATGCAAGTTAGTATCTCAATACGTATCGGTTCGTATGCGCCCATCTACCAAACAAATACACGCGATAATATTATCGCTTTCGACGATGCCATGTACAGTGATTTGAAGGGTGCTTATGTCAGGGATAGAGCGGCGATCACATTTCTCAGTAGTTATGATGCAAGTGATATTGCAGTGATTAAACTGCCAGGTAATTCACCATCATTATGGAATATCTCGCCACCGGATCGTAATCGTTTGTTAGAGGAGTTGAAGTCGAATGGTACAATTGTGTCGAGCTTTGCCTACTCCATTACACGTAAACCACCAGATAAGAGCTTGATGGGCACAGTTTCCGGTGAGATTATCTTTCATATGAATAGTACGTATGCTTGGCGTGACGATTTGATAAATATGCTGGAAGCAAATGGCACTTCCAAAGTGGTTCCCCTGCCCGATATGGTGCCGAAGTTCATTAAGGTAATTTATGTGAAGTAAATTTTGCTGTGAACTATAATTACTAATACTAAACTAATTGCAGATTTTAAGTTCTGGTGATGTTAGCATTGTAAATCAATTAATGCCAACTGGACAGAGTAAGTAGAAAATAATTAAAAAAAATATGAATAATAATTAAACAAATTTTGAAACCACACATACATGCTGAGTCTCAACAAAAAACAGTTTCGAAATCCAATTAATATTGCGAAATACAGAAAAGTTATTTAAATATATTTTATTATTCCAATTTCAACATTTTAACGCCCTTTGAGGCGCATATAGTTATATACATGCATGGCGCTTTATAAACAATGAAGCGATTTCCGGTCAAGCTCATAATTCGAAGTGCGCCTTTATGATTTCCCAACAAACGCATACTCGGAGAGGGTGACAGTCAATAACTGGCAGCAATCGCAATAGGAGAAATGATTTTAATTAATTTTCAATAAACATAATTGTTGGTCGGGTCAGAGTTCTAGGTCATGAGCAGTTATGCGTAGGTTACATAAAGAACAGAGAGTTCTGCTAAATTCGATCCATTGGGACTGCATATTTTCAAAACTTCCATATACATACATATGTATTTCTTTCTTTCTAAATTTTATATAATACTGAAGATTTTATAAATTATTTAAAATGGACTCTATATAATGGACCCCCTTCTTTTGTAGTGAAAAAAATGTTTAGAACTTTTTAAGTGAAACATTTATAAATTATGATATAAGAGATTGTTTTTTTTTTAATATAATATTTACATCTTCTAGTTAAAAAATGTATCAATATTTAATTAATTTTTTTCCCCCCTGCAATTTAAGCTTATCGCCCACTCTTAATACGCATGCGCAACAGTTCTTCGGCGCGCCTTTGGTGGGAAATTGCCGATTACTGCGATGATGAGTTCCACAATGATTTTTTGGCGAAATTACCTTTGGATAAATGTAACTCCGGCATAGTTCTTTATACGTTTAACGATAAACAATTCCCATCAACATTTAGTTTCATTACGAAAGGCGGGTAAGTAAGCAGATATTTGCATCAAACTATTTTTTTTTTATTAACTTCACCCACATTACAATACAATAAATATTTCGCCAACAAGTAATTTTGTTTTTAAGTTAATTTAAAAGAGCTTCTATCGTTTACTTACTCTTAGCATTCTTGGCGCGTATACTACGTTCGTCATTGTGGCTTCGCGCTTCTTCAAGTCCTTCATTGGCGGACAAAATCGTAAGATTATGTTCGAAGATATGCCTTATGTGGATAGAGTATTGCAATTGTGCCTTGACATATATTTGGTAAGAAAAAACATTACTTTAAATGTATAGAGTATGTGGAAACAAGTACATTCGTGTATATATATATATAATATATTTGAGATACATATTATTATATTTATTATTTATTATATTAATATTTTTCTCTTTTCCCGAATAGGTGCGACAAGCGCTTGAATTTGCGCTGGAAGAGGATCTCTTTGCCAAATTAATCTTCCTGTATCGCTCACCGGAGACGATGATAAAATGGACGCGACCGAAAGAGGAAGCTGACGATGAAACAGATTCAGAGTCTATGCGTAGTCGTGTTAGTACACGTGCGCCCAGATAAAATGTGAACCATTGAATGTAAAAAAAATATAAAACGCACTGATTTTCATTCATAAAAAAAAAAAAAAATCACAAAAACTATAACAAAACGACTACAGCAAGAAAGAACTCGAAAGTTACATATACATAAGTATATACACACGTACATCACTATAGTCCTATAAATAATACATAGCTCCACAATTCGCAGCACAATCAAAAAATTATAATTTAAAAAAAAAATGAAACGAAAAAAAATTTAAAACCTTCCTTTTTTGATAAATAATTATAATACCTTTGTGTGTTTAGTTAAAATTTTCTAATTTTTTCTATAAAAAATTCGAAAAAAAAATTAATTTTTCAACCAATATCTTCAATATCTGCAATTATCTACATTAATTTCTTTATCCATAATATTTTCTGCCAATATTTTTTTTTTTTTTTAATAAATTTTAATTAATCGTTTATTCACTCAGATTTTTCTAGTTTTTTTTTTTTTAACATTTTGTACAGTTATTTGCCACAAAAACCAATACACGTAAACACATACATACATAAAAGCATATTTAAAAGCAAACCCCGAAAGAACTGCCGTTAATTAATGTTGTAAACTATTTTTTATTACAAAAAAAAAGGAACCAAAAACAAGAAATGAAGAAAAAATCACATTATAGTAATATAATTAACTAAGCTAAGTTTCGAAAACGAATCATCGTAGACGATGAAAAGTGTAGAGTTTGAGAAGTTTTTTTGTGTATTCTATTGTAAGTCAAAAGCAGCAAAGAAATATTAATTTTGATGTTTATATTTAGAATTTAGTGTTTCATTTACGCAGAAAAGAAAAAAATAATACAATAGAAAACTAAAACCAACAGCAACAACAACAAAATAAAACTATAGTCAAAGCAAAGAAACTACAATAGAAAAAATACAAATAACGAGAAAAATATATAAAATAGATTTACTTAAATAAATATTATTAATAAATAGAAATAATGTTAAGAAGTCATATTCAGGGATCTTTAGCATTTTATACTGAATTTATGTTTTTAGTTTTCTAAATGCTTAAATAGAAATACAAAAAAACTACATAAATAAAATAAAAAACCGTAAGAATAATAAAAGCAAATTAAAAAACACTAACGAACAACTGAAAATTATTAAAACAAAAAATATAGTTAATAGCAGCAGGAAAAGGAATTATTGAAATCGAAAAATTAAAATAGAAATCGCAGTTATCGTTTCTTAGCAGTTTATGTTGTTTTTTTACTTTATGTTTATTATTTTATTTTTATTATTACACTCAATTTATTTATTTATTTTTTTTTGCAACAAGCAATTATATTTTTTTGTATAATGTTTTTATATGTTGTGCAGTCTAGTGCTTGTATTAAGTACTGATATATTAGAGTTTGGTATTTTTAACGCCTTTAAGCTGTTGAAAATGACTTCCGCAGTTACAAAACGCCAATTATGTTATATATACATATGTATGAATATATAAATATTTACAAACTACCAGTGCACTGCATACATAGTTGCAAAATATTAAAAGCTCTGTATTTTATTCATATATTATATAGTCCAATTTGCAACAACTTTGTCCTTTTTTAATTTCTTTAATAAAAGAAATACTCATTAATTTTTTCAATTCAAAATCGTTTTTTTTTTTATTTATTTATTTTTTTTTTCTTTACTCAAAAAAGTATACTGATTAATTTTTCAATTCGAACCAGTTCTTTTCTTAATTTTCCCTCCTTAATAATTCTTAGATTTTAAGTAACATTACATATTTATTTATGAATTTATTTACTATTTATTTTTTTAATTTTTCATTGTTAACTTTTTTTAGTTGTTTTTACTCATAAAATCTTTTTTTTTTTTTGGTTTTTTTTAATCAAAAAATTGCATAATTTCCAAAACAATATATAACATATATATTTTGGTATATAAAATATATATTTTATTTTATTTAATCTAAGTTTAAAAAATATTTCTTTATTTTACACAAATTTCTTTTTCCATGCAGCGCCGTTCCTAGTAAATGAAATAAAATATAATAAATTTATACCTTTTTTTTAAGATTTAGTTATACTGAAATTGTTTACTATTTTTTTTCTTCTTTTCATTTTAATAATTATATATTATTATTATTTTTATTTATTTGAAATAAAATTATAATTGTATTTTTAAAACTTCATGTCGCTCTGTATATGTAGAGACATATTTCTATAGGCTCTTTGCGTTTTTGTAGTGATTTCGAATAATATGATCAACATCTATAAAAATCGACAACAAATTTAAATTATTATTTATCGTTCAGAAAATAATTATTAATAAATAAGTAATATTTTTCCGATCTGTTTGAATTTCTGATATTTCGATTTTTATATTTCCGCTCAAAAGTAAGTCAGCTTTAAATTTTTCTTATTAAAAATAATCATAGTCTTGATCTTTGCTGAAAAAAAACGAAATGCTTTGGAATTTTAATTTTGTTTTCATCAAAAATATTCATTGAAAATTTTCTTCAAAAATAATAATAATTTTTTGATTTTAATTTTTCTGTTCGAAAATAAAAATTATTTACTGAGCAACATTCCTTTATACAAAAAATTAATAGTACATTTTGTTTATTTTATTTCAACGAATCGCTCAAAAACTCAAAGCGGATTTCACATAAATGGCAGAGGGTAAAGCTAACCAATGAATGAACTTTAAAGTAATGTCCCATATAAATAAATATAGTTGTTTATTTTCATTGGAAGGGTTCGGAATTTGAAAAAATTTTTACACAATAAATTTTTTATTTATGAAACTATGGGCCTGTAGGTAATTAGCATCATTGATCATTGCTTCTGAGCAAATATATGGCAATAGAGAAATAACAATGATCTGAAAAGTATAAAATAATTTTAATTATATGTTATGTTTAGAGCGATAATTTGAGAAAATAATAAATACATGTTGTTATATATAATTTTTAAATCACTGAATATTGATTATAAAGCGATTTTTTTTTTGTTGGAAAAACTCATAATTATTACCCTGCTTTGCTTATTTTTATGATTATTATTATTTATTTTCGCTTTAATAGTTTTATTTTATATTAATATAATTTTGTATGAATGATTCGAAAATATTATATTAATTACTTTTGAAGTTATTTATTCGATGAGTTTTAATATTTTCCTATAAATTAGAGTAACAATTCCAGCTTCCCTTTGCTCCATTTTTTATTTTTAATTTGGAAAAAAAAATTGAACTCAATTTTCTCATCTGTATTTGATATTTATTTTACCTCTACTTACATACAGTTTCAATTTTAAATTCCACAAAAAAAAATATTTAAAAAAAGTAAATAGTAAAAAATGATCTATGTAAACATGAAAAAATTGGAATTGAATCAAATTTATTATAATACATACAAAAAATTACTAATCGCTTATAAACAAATTACTAATTTTTCTTTGAAAAAATTTTGGTAAATATTTTTAGCAAGGAAACTAAAATTTAACTACTAAATAAATAATATCGTTCATGCATACATACATATGATTGCTCGAATATTTGCCTTAAAGATTTTGCTAAAATTTAAAATTTTTAATTCAAAAAAAGCATTTGAATAAATTTACTAAATTAAATATTGAATTTAAAAAAAAAGTTTGACTTAATAAAAATTTTGCTTTCTCTGCTTATAATTAATCAAATTTGCTAATTCACATTAAATTAACGGAGAGCGTGAAGCAATTGAGTCAAAAAGCATAGTGACGTGAAAAAGTAATTTAAGGAAAAGTGTTTTAAGTGAAGTACTAATAAGTATGGCATATATTAATTGTTTTTTTTTTTTGTTTTGTTTATATTCAACTTGCTCGCCGTGCCGCTATGTGCTTAGCCAAATCCATTTGGATGTAAATAAAGCTGCAACATGCAATATCATTAACAGTGAATATTTGTTATGCATAAGTCTAGCGTGTTTTTATATACTTAGATATTTATACATATATTTAATAGTTTATTTAAAAAAACATGATATATATATATATGTATATATATATATGTATAAATATGTCACAATTGTTTACGCATAATAATTTAGCAAGCTAAAATCGAAATAGACTAACAAGCAAAAGCAAGCAAAACTACAAATACATACATACTTACATACATACATACTTAACCAAGTGTACATATACTCATATGTGCGTATGTTTGTCTTAAATTCGCTTAACTATTTTTTATATACAAAATTAAACAAAAAAAAAAAACAAAAGTTTTTATACACGATATAAAATTTAAAAAGAAAAAAAATAAATCGAAAATTTAAAAAAAAATTTAAAACCTTAAAAATAAATAAAAAATCAAAATTGAAAAAATAATTTTTGACTTAAGTTGCGCTGTAGTGTAAATTTTTATACTAATTATTATTAAAGAAAAAAGAAAAAATAAAATAAAAGAAACTAAAAAAGTACCAAGACAACAAGAAGCATTAAAAACTTTAGAGGAAATGCTTAGATAAATAATAAGTAGTAAAGAAATTAATAACAACAACAACAAACACGAGTAATGTACCTACTTTCATACAATATTTACGTCTACTAATCAGAATTTATTACGTAAATGTGTAAAAGCAAAATATGTATGTTTAACAACAAAACCAACTACAAGCAAAACAAAACAAAAAACAGAAGAAGAAACTTAGTAAATAAAAAGTAAAAGATTTTTATTGTATTTTTGAAATTATGATTGCGATGGCATAAGAATAAAAAACGTCTATAAATAAATGTGTGAATGAAAAAAAGGTTAATTTTTTCAAGATTTTACTGTTCTAAGGTATAAAGTTTAATTGCTACTTTCCAGAAGACAATTGAAAAAAATATTAAAAAAAATTAAAAAATCACAGTCCAGGAAAAAGTATTAATATGCAAAAATTTCACTTATCCATTTGATTTATAAATCATTAAGGCAGCTTTCGAGACTGCAAAGAATACATTTTTTCTTAAATCTATTCTAAAACTACCCAAGAATATGTCTTCAAAATTCTTTAAGTCAATTCGACATATATTAGAAGCTATAATAGTTTTAACGGACGA